CCCAAGCCCCTTCCAACGTGCAGCTTCCCGCCTAGCAGGCACCCATGCAGCCTGGCTTTCACCCTGCTTTGTTGACGTGCCAACAATACCACTGCGGCCCCCAACCCCCACCCGGCATCCCTCAACCCAATCCCTGCCAAGGGCACCCTTCCCCCTCAGTCAGCGAGCGCCGCACCACCACCACACCAGCGCTGACCAGATCAGATCAGCGCCGCGCCGCCCACCCTGTGGTCGACATGAACGAGCGGCTTGTTGCCCATGAACAGCGCCCCCATCAGCTGCAGCGCGGGGATCTCAAGGGGGAAGTTGAAGGGCGTGATCAGCGCCACGGGGCCGTAGGGCCACCGCAGGCCGGTGCTGGTCTGGCCCGCGTGGTCGCCAGACACGCTGAAGCCCCGCGCGGTGAAGCGGACCTGGGCAGGGGGGTAATGAGGGGCGGGACGGGGCGGGCCGGCCGCGGCGGGGGCTCAGGCTGCTGTTGCCCGCTGGTGGCTGCTCTGCTGGCTGAATTGTGGGAGGCCAGCTGCCAGCTGGGGGCCCGGCAACTGAATGGGTCGCACGCTCAAGTGAGGCCTCGGTTCAAAGCCCCTGCCGGCGCGTGGTGACTCGTGTCCCCACCTGGTCGCCCGAGAAGTTCTCGAAGAAGCGCCGCGTCACGGTGACCTCCGCCGCCGCCTGCGCGTAGCTCTTGGGGGACGTTCGCTGCACCAGCCGCGCAAAGTAGTCCAGCACCTTGGGCCGCCGCATCGCCTCGCCCACCTTGGCGCACACCTCACCATACAGAACATAACTTCGTGGGCGTGTTCCATAACAGAGTAGGGGAGCGGCGGAGTAAGCCACGGGAGTGGTGGAGTGGATGAGCGACAGGGGTCGGGGTGGGGTAACAGGGAGATCCGGCACGAGTTAGGGGGGGTTGGGCGTAATGGTTTACGCATTCTTGGCTTTGACCGCGTGCAAATCTGTGTGGCAGTGAGGCTACCATGATTGAGATGGAGCCCCTGCCAGCATATGCAATCGTCGCGTCGCCGACGCGCCGTGCAGCCGCGCGCGGCGCCCACCGCTCCGGCCGCTTGAAGGGGTTGTGGAGGCCCGTCTTGGGCACGGCCTTCAGGCTGTCGATGAAGGGGCGCAGCTCGGCGTCCCCCTGGGTGTCGGGGACGTGCGTGAAGGGCTCGCCATTCAGGGGGTCTGGGACGGTGATGCTGCTCGCGGCGTCGACCCACTTGCCGCCAACTGCGGGGGGCGAGGGGGTGATGAGGCAGGGACGGGGGCGGGGTGTGCGATGCGGCTCGGTTGAGAGGCCGCAGCGCAAGGCTGCATGATAATCTCATGTACAGGGTGTGGCTTGTGATTGCAGGTTGCAAAGGCGGTGGTATGCCACAGTACCGAGGGCGGCGGCGATTGCATGTGCAAGGCAAGGCGGCAGCTATTCACGTCGGCCGTTCCACGTCTCCCGCTCACCCAGGTTCTGGGCCTTTGCCGGATGCGCTCCGGACCATCTATCCACATCGACTGTGGCCCAGCTGGCCACGCCGCGCTTCGCCGACACGGCCAGCTGACGCAGCGCTGAGCCCAGAGCCACAATGCCTGGGGCGCCCAGTTGCTGCGCAGTCAGGGGTAGCATCCTGGTCGTTAAGACTGATACTCCACTGCCGAATATATGGGGGACCGCGCACGTGCCTGGCAATCAGGTGGCAGCCCTGCTGTCGGTGCTGATCGTTGGATGGCACTGGCAGCGAGCCCACGGCTTTCATAAAATATCTCAATTGTATCAGCGTCATCGAATGCTGTAGCGAGTTGGTAGGGAAATCTGCAGCACTGCCGGCAAAAAGCATGATGCACACTTAGTGAAGCAAGGTGGGCAGCGCATGCCAAACATCGCAGTCGCACTTTCAAACTCTCATCAAGTAAATAGCAATTGCAAGGTGTTGCATGCCATTGTGCTACAGATCGCTACATCAGATCTTCGGAAGGCTTTTCCGGGGCACCTAGGTACCAAACAAGGGCTTCAAGCCTGTCACGATAACATGCTTTAACAGGCGAGGCACTCCATCAGCCTTCAATAGTAGTGGTAGCAACAAGCGATTGCAGCACGTGCAGCAGCACCGCTACTGAGCACCAGCAGGCCGCGGCGGCCGCGCAAGCGGTTCGGCAGCACAAGCCATGTTACTCCCGGCGCTGCTGCAGCAGCTGCGCCGAGAATTGCGGCTTGCGCCGATAGCAGCAGCAACGGCGGCTGCACAGCAGACAGCAGCATGGGTGCCTTGGCACCGGCAGCTGGCCACGTCCGCAGCAGCACTCCAGGCCGCAACCAACGCAGCCGCTGCTGCCTCTGCAGCAGCGCGCGCGCCCCCCGCGGCGTCGAACGCGGCGGGCATCGCGTACCCCAATCTGCAGCCGTGGTCGCCGCCCGCGCCCGACCACCTGCAGTCGCGGCGCCGCGGCTACCGCCCGCCCCGCACCGACCTCGGCCGCCGGACGCGCGGGATGCTGCTTGCGCGCTACCCTTTCAGCATCGACTACTTCTCGCCGAAGCCTGTGTTCTTGCACAGCCTCGACGGGCGGGTGCTGGCGCAGCGAGAGCTCCCCGGGGACATCTTCAACGTGCCAGTTCGGCTGGACATTCTGCACAGGGTGGTGCGGTGGCAGCGCGCCAAGGCGCAGCAGGGCACCCACAAGGCGAAGGACCGCTCAGAGGTGCGCGGCGGCGGCCGCAAGCCGTGGCGGCAGAAGGGCACGGGCCGCGCGCGGCAGGGCAGCATCCGCGCACCGCAGTGGAGGGGCGGCGGCGCCGTGCACGGGCCGGTCCCGCGGTCGCACGCGCACAAGCTGCCGAAGAAGGTCCGGCGGCTCGGCCTCAAGTGCGCGCTCAGTGCCAAGGCGCATGAGGGGCGGCTGCTGCTGCTCGACAGCCTACGGCCCACTGAGCCAAAGACCAAGGAGCTCGCCGCCAAGCTGGCGCGCCTGATGGCGGGCCGCCCGCGCCGCAGCGCGCTGCTCGTCGACGCGGCCAAGGACGGCGCAGACGGCGGCGCGGTGCTGCGGCGCGCGGGACGCAACCTGGAGGGCGTGGACATTGTGCCGGCCTGCGGGGCCAATGTGTACGGCATCCTGCGGCGCGACGTGCTGATCTTGACGCAGGGCGCCGCCGACGCGCTCGCCGCGCGGCTGCGCGCGCCGATCAACCGGCTCGGCGCGGCGGGTCGCGCGCACGAGGCGCGCGTGCGGGCGGCGGCGGAGGAGCGGCGGCGGCTGGGGCTTGCGGCGGAGGGGGAAGAGCTGGGAGAGCAGCAGGAGCAGCAGCAGGAGCAGGAGCAGCAGCAGCAGCAGCAGCAGCAGCAGCAGCCATGAATGGCATTGACGTCCGCTGCGTAGCGGCGTGTTTTTCATGCTGTATGCAAGCAAGGCGCCATGCTCCGTTGACATTGTCATCAGTGACACGAGAGAGAGGGGGCCTTGTAATCGCTGGGCCAGCTTGTTGATGCTGTGGTTGGCTTGATTCAGGGCGGGACCGGCGGTGGTTGGCTGCGTGGGGCTGGTGTAGGCAGCCCTGTAAAGGAACACCCCCTCCCACTCGTTCGTTGTTGCTCGCCTGGAGGGAGGGGGCATGGGTCAGTGTGGGTCTGGGTGGATCGCTCGCCGCCTGGTCGCCTTGTCTGGAGGCCTCTATGTACATCCACGTCAGCACGCACATACATCGGGGATACTCTAGTGTTGGGCTTTGGTATGGGCTCACTATCACGAGTGTTATGATAATGTTTACCTTTGATAAGCGATCGTTCAGCCCCTTCAACTGGCGCAGTCGGCTGATGAACAGCACCAGCAGTGCTGTTCATGTGACTGCTCGAAGCCCATGGTCGTTGAGCCCACGGTCACTCAGGGAATACCGTACGGCACAGCACCCCACGCAGACCTCTGGAGTGAACGATGAATCGTGCTCCGAACCTTGACCCTAGCCCTTGTGCAAAAACGCAAATGGCGCCAGTTTGATCTGGAGCTTTGAGATCCCGGAGGAGGTAATGGCAGAGGCCCCCGCATCCCTTCGCGAAGCTAGGGCCCTATACCAAGGACGGGCGACCCGCAAAGAGTTCGTGAGCGAGGACCGGGCGCGCAAGCTTCGCTTTTACGCTGGGGCAGTGACGAGCGTCAGGCGCGACAAGAAGGGCATATGGTATCTTGTCAGGTGGGTGTCCGGCTTGTGGGTTGGGCGACACCAGCAGCCGCGTGCTGCCTGCGCTCTGTGCTGTCAGCTCACTTGAATTGCTGCGCCGTCATCGGGACACGCCGCTTGCAAACGCTTGCGCAGGTACGAGGACAGCGACTCGGAGGAACTCTTGTGGCACGAGCTGGTGGGGACGCTGGTGGACAAGTCAGCAGGTGGGCCTGCGTGCAGGAGCGGTGTTGGCGCGCTGGCTGTGGCAGTGGTGTGCTGTTGGCGCCCACCTGGTTTGCGCACATTCCTTGGTGGCAGTAAGGCACCCGTAGATCCCATTCCCAATAACCACTGCCATGCCTGCACACATTTCGCAACCTGGTGCACAGCCGAGGAAGCTGCTTGGCAGCACCTCGCCGGCAGGGTGGGCGGCGGCGCGCAGGCCGCCTCACCGGCGGAGCCAGCCATGCGCGTCAAGCGGGAGCGCGAGCAGGCGCAGGAGGCTGGGGAGGAGGAGGAGGGGGAGGACAGGACCAACGGCAGCGGGCAGGACCAGGCCGAGCGCCGTGGGGCCGGCGGTCGTGGCGCGAGCAAGCAGGCGCGCCGTGGGCCAGGTGCGGCTGAGCAGGGAGTTTCGCCGCGGTCGGCGCCCCGCGAGGAGCAGCAGCGGGGGCAGCAGCAGGAGCAGCAGCAGCAGCAGCAGCAGCAGCAGCGGTCGCGGCGGCGGTCGGCCCGCGGCAAGGGGGAGCAGCATCAGGAGGAGGAGGAGGGCAGCGGTGGCGGCGGTGGCGGCAACCCAATGGAAGAAGACAGCGGAGGCAGCGATGGCGCCGCCGCCCCGCCGCCGGGCCGCCACGGGGCGGTACGGCCGCCCCCACAGCCGCGCCGCGGTAGCGGGGCGGCGGCAGCCAAGAGGCGGCGGTCAGAAGAGCAAGCTTCGGAGCAGCAGCAGGAAGAGGAGGAGGAGGAACTGGACGCGTCGGGCGGCCCCGGCAGCGACGCTGACGAGGACGAGCGCATCGAGCAAGCCGTGCGCGCCCGCAACGCCGGCGGCGCGGCGCGCGCGGGCGCGGTGCGGGGCAAGGGGCTGGCGGGGCACGTCAAGAGCGTGAAAGTCCAGAACTTCATGTGCCACGAGAACTTTGCGATGGAGTTCGGGTGGGACAGGGGGCGAGGACGGGTGCCGCGGCCGGGTGGAGCGGCGGGCCGGCGCCCGGCGGCCTGCGGGGCTGGGAGCTGGGGGCTGGGTGCTTCCGCGGGCTAGGGGACCCTGTCAGCGTTTCTTGGCAGCACGCTCATATGATGTGCCGCAGCAGAGCTGGCCGGGGCCGAGGCGTGCCCATGCGACATGCATCAGTAGCACGGTCCTGCGATTGCAGTCGTGCAACTCGAACCGACTGTGGCCAGGCCGCGCAGTCCCGGCCCCCTCCCAGCTCCCTCTTACCCCGGCCGCACCGCACCCTCACCCCCACCCACGCCACCCGCCGTGCAGCTCCCACGTCAACTTCATCAGCGGCACCAACGGCAGCGGCAAGTCCGCGATCCTGCAGGCCCTGCAGATCTGCCTCGGCGCGACGGCGCGCGAGACGGGGCGCGGCAGGAGCGTGCGGGAGCTCATCCGCAGCGGCGCCAGCGAGGCCAAGCTGGCGGTCACCCTCTGGAACACGGGCGACGACCGGTTCAGGCCCGCAGCTCCGTACCCCAAGGAGCTCGGCGACTGGGTGACGATAGAGCGCGTCATTAAGGCGACGGAGGGCGGCGGCGGCGGCGGCGGCGCCGGCGCCGGCGTCAACACGACGTGGAGGGTGACGGGCGAGAGGTGCGGGCGCGTGGCGGGCGCGAGCAGGAAGGCGCTGGTCGACCCGCTGCTGGACCACCTGAACGTCGCCGCGGAGAACCCGCTCTGCGTGATGACGCAGGTGCGCCCCCTGTTTGAGGTCTAGGGTTTGAGGTTCAGGGTTTAGGGTCCCCTGTTTCGCGACGCCTCACTGCGCGGCGCGGCGCGGCGCGGCGCGGCGCGGCGCGGCAGGGCAGGGCAGCTGCTTGGCGCAGGGGGGGGCCCGCGATGTGGGAGGGGCGGAGTGCTTTGGGGGCAGGCCTGGCGGGCGTGCGAGCGCGCTGTGGGGCGACGGCTGAGGGCGGGCCCCGGCAACCGCTGGGGGCCCTTCGCTGCTTCGCAGACACTCGCGCCATGCACGCGCTCCCGATCGGCCGAGCTTGCTTTGCCCCAAATCCAAACCCTGCTCACCCCCCTCCCCCCCAGGACAAAGTGCGTGAGTTCCTGTGTGGCGCCAGTGAGAGCGCCAGCCTGCTGTACCGGCTGTTCATGGACGCCACCCACATGGCGGACTTCAAGGAGAAGCTGGACCGCACCAGGGTGGGTGTGGG